TATGCGTAAATATAAAAATGGCGAAAAGACAAATAAACGACAATAAACGGGCGGGCGTGGCAGGCGCGTAAACCAAACGTAGCCCGCCCCCAAATCCGGCCAGGCAACAGTCGAAAAAGAAGCAGTATAAAAAGAAGAAGAAAAAAGCAAAACATAGCCTGCAAAAAAAGATGGCCTCATAAAAAGAAAACCAAAAAAGGCCAACAAGGGTCAAGGCGCCAGCACAGTGGGTCAAAAACAATGAAAAAGTACTTAATAGCACAGACCAGCAGGATTTAGTGGTCAAGAATCAGCTAGAGAGAGACAGAGAGAGAGACAGAGAGAGAGAGAATTAGAGAGAGCAAGAGGGAAAGAGGCATAGAGAGTAAGAGAAAACAAAACAAATAGAGATAATGACAGAGATAGAAGGAGGGAAAAGCGAGTGAAAGAGAGGTAAAAATAAATATAGCGGGAGAGAAAGACAGAAGGAAAAAGAAAATTGGAAAGATACAGAAAAAGAAAGACAGATTGAAGATAAAACGAGAGAGAGAGAGTAAGAGAGAGAGAGCGAGGTTGAAAGAGAGATAAAGATAGCGAGAGCGAGAAAGACAGAGGGAAAGAATCATTGTCAAGAGAGAGAGGGAGAGAGACAGGCAAAGAGTGTGAGAGAGAGACAGACTTAACGAGACTGAGAGAGCAAGATATGGAGTGAGAGAGGGATAAAGATTGAGGGATAAAGACACAGGATAGAGAGAGAGAGAGAGAGAAAGAGAGAAATAGACAAAGATAGAGATAGGCAGGTGTTAATCTAAATCGACTCAATTTCGATTGAGATGCACATGCATTTTGCACCACTGTGCCTGCCCTGAGGCCAAAACCTGAGAACGAGCATAAAAACGGAGTAGGCGGCACGTTTGCCATAGAGTTTTGCCCTCGTATTGTGTGTGCTTTTTGTTTATGACGTCCATTTGGTTGGTGCAAGCAGCCGAGATTAGATTCTCTTCTGGCCAAGGTGGACATTCACATTCAGACACAGGCAGACAGAGAGACGTTCGCTGCATTGGGTGCTGTCTTGTGTGCCGACTACCTCAATGATTTGTCCATTTCCTGGCAGTCGCGTAAATGCGAACGACTCATTTTAATGCCGGCAAAAAGACGTGCAGATTTTGCCATTTGCATTTGCATTTACAGTCATGGGAGACAGAGGGAGTGAGTGGGCCATTCAAATGTTAAGCGGCCCATAAATTTGCCATAAACCTGAGCTGCGCTTTAAATGGCCAGCGAGGCGACTAAAAGTATGCCGACAATTTGTGTTTACTCGCTTGAAATCAAAGGCAAACAAAACAAAATAAAGAGCGAAAAAAGCGCAGTCAAATTTGCTTTGGAGCCTCGTTTTTGCAGCGACCCCGCCCACTTGAAGCGGGTGCCCACTTTTCAGCGCGTTTTTGTTTGCCCAAAGTCCAAAAACCAAAGCAGCAACGGCACGAAAGGCCGCGAAGCCATCGGCGAGCCTGATAAATTGAATGGTCAGCTGCGTTAGCATAAAAAGCCCTATTCAGTTGCTTTGGCCTTGTTTTTTATTTTGTTTTTTCTTCTACTGTGGCAAAGGTGAGAGGGCCAAACAACATATGAACGGCAGATCATGCACTGATTGCCATGTGCGCAGCAGCTGCCAAAAGCTACCGGGGCCAATTGAGCAGATAGAAAAGAGCTCACTCAGCTTTTAATTAGCTATGCAAGTGAGGTGTAGATGGGTTATGTAGGTGAGGTGCAGATGAGCTATAGATTACACAAATATATATATTGAAAGTGCTTTTATTTTTGTATAAAGTTGGAAATTTATTTCACTTTTTCAATATGTTTTTATTTAAGCGAATTCAATGTAAATAAAATGCATAAACCAACTGAAAGTGAAACACTTTTTGAGCGCTGATCATATTACTTTTTTATTTTCCCATATTTTTCGGCAGATCATATAAAGTCTATATATTCTTGAAGAGCTGAGTCATCTGTATCTCGTTTACCACAAAAGCTAGACACTAAACTCATCCAATTACAATTGTATCGATAAAAATCGATAATTTCGAAGCGAATTGTGAATTATTATAGTTCGTCTTAGCATTTGCTTTTAAGGGCACTTGCTAATCCTTTTTGAAGTTAATTTTTAAATACATCATTTAACATTAACAAACAAAATTTCGAAATTTTTGGATACTTGAAAAGATGTTTGCAGCTAAAATAAATATGAAAATAAAAAAAAAGACTTTATGCAAGCATCTCTAAATTTTTATGTTTAGATGCAACTAAATTAAATATATAAATTAAATATATATATTTATAATTTTGTTACTTCCTTCAAAAAAGTCCGAGTAGAGATTTAATGTGTTATGGAAAAAATGGAAATCATTTATTTTTGAGGACATAACTGAGGTTATGCTTGCTACGCCTTAAATCTTGTTATTACCACAACAAGATTTAAATTATTATTATTATTTATCATTAAAGCAAACTCTAACTATATAAAACTAAAAAAAACTTCTAGTTTTTTGAGCTTTATTATCTGTTTCTTTGCTGTCTATTGTGAGTGACAGCGAAAGGGAGAATTAATGAAATGAGCTCCACTTTTGCTATGTATTTATATGAAGCTTAAAACTAATTTCAGTTATTAGATGAGTCAGATTTGTTATGCTTAAGCAAATATGCTTTCTGTTTAACACTTGAACTCGTTGTCAAGGTTCATTTTACATTCTTTATAATATTATAATTTTTCAAGTGTTCATGCTTGAGCAATAAATATTAATCAAGTAGTTTATCAACTCAATCTAGATAGCTTCAATTAAATGTTGTTTCCACAAAAGTTTGCTTCATTAGCCTTTGATATAGTTATTGGTCTCAGTTTACCTTTGATATACCACATTTAGTTGTTAAAAGAATTTTCCCAAATAAGGAGGCATTCGCATATCTTTAAGTATAAGTGTGAAATGCATAACATTCCGACAGCTGACAGTGGCTGTCCTCGCCTGCTCATCTGGCATTACGCAAAGGGTAGTTCGGACAAATCGGCTGGCCTAGCGAGAAGCTTAGAAGAGAAAGCATAAAAAAACGGCTCATTAAATTGCAAGCTCAACGTTCGCGAAAAACAACTTATGAGGCATAAAAAAAATTGCAAATGCAGCAAGTCCTGTGACAGGTGAAATTGAAAGAGATGAAGGGAGGGGATGGGGTCGACGTATTACCCTTTACACCCAAAAAAAACTAAGCACCCAACTATACGAAAAACGTGCTAAAACGTAAATCAACAGCGAAAATCGTGTTGAGCATTTTTCGCTATCCCCAAAAAAAAGGAAGAAAAACTGAGCAGGGAAAGCGAAGAAAAAGCATAAACAGTAGTTGCTACGTGGCGGAGGTAGAAGCTGGACTCGAAAGTTGAAAAGTGGCAAAAGTCCAGAGGGAATTGGAGATTGGACATGGCTTTTGGCGACGACGATGGTTAGAGGAGAGCGGGAGGGTGTGGCAGTTGGGCGGGGTTGCACTTGTTCTAGCTGCTGGCTGCTGACTGCTGTCGCCTTCGCAACGTAATTCAATATGCAATGCCGTGTTAAAAGCTGTAAAAATGCTTAAGCGTTTTTCAATTTACCAGTTTTATTTTACGAACAGCTTTTTCCAGCTAACACACACACACACACACACCAAAACACATTGACCGGAATGAGATTTGCAGCTAACTCAAATTTCTTAAATGTTTTGTCGAACATTTGCAAGTGGCCGCCGGTTGGGGCAAAGCGAAGCAGTGCCAACTTCAGCAGTTTCGAAACGTACATTGACATTCGACACGACAGGTTGATGTCCTTAAAAGCTGAAGAGTCGATAAATATATAACAGAACCCCTTGGGCTTAGGCACGGCATTCAAATAGCGAAGCGCCTAATTGCATTGAGCTCAGTTAAGTTTTTTAGAATTACCAAATTGAATTTGTCTTTGGATTAGCTTTAAATACATTGTCTTATATTTTTATAAATAATTATTTAAATGAATTTATAAGATATTTATTTTTGATACTCGCTTACGAAGGAAAAAGGGTATATGGGCTTTGTGCACAGTCCATCCGTTGGAGCAAGTGTTTCAAAATTTTGCATTTTCCGTAGTCGGTCTTTAAAATTAACCATTATAGATATATATCTACGCCTAACGTACTTTTATATAGTAGCAGTATCTGCTACTGCATAGCAAGAGCAAGTCTGATTATGGCCTGGAGAACTGCGCTATTCTGACCTTAAAACAAGATTTCTAAACATATTTATTTCGATTCAATTCAATGAGTAAATGTTGTTTATAAATACATACACATATATAAAAGCGTTCTAAATTTATATATATATATATATATATATATATATATGTTATATATATATATATATATATATATAATTATATATATATATATATATATATATATATATATTTATATATAATATTAAAATATTTTATTTTAAATTTTAATTTGTATAATTATTAAATAAAGTAACTGGCAGAATCTAAAGCTTTAATTGTAATCAATTTTCTCCACACGGAACACAAATAACATTTTTAATAAATCTATTTTACAATATCCTGTGGAAAATTGTGTTTGCCGAACTCATGGCTAAATAGCAAAATATTTCCTGTAAAATGAAACTTTGTTTTTGTGCTCTCACAGCAGCAGGGGAAAAAGTGCAAACGTTGCAATTTGCGACGAAAAACAATTAAACTTGAACTTTTGTCACCGAAAAGGAAACAGGAAAAAAAAATAACAATAAAAACGCAGCAGAAACTGAAAGAGCAGCGTGAAAATTGTCGTGTCAGCAAAAATAAGGCGACAGCGAGTCCGGCACGGGACGGAAAGTTTTTTGCTCCTAGTTGGCGCTAATTAATTTTTATTTATTACGTATACGAACGGGCAGCCAATGAAATTATTTGACCAAGCCAAAAAATATAATTAAATTTTCTAACAACTACGTTTCGTTTTCGCTTTTGTTTTTGCAGGCAAACATGCTCGCGTGGACACACAGCAAACGCCACTGGACGGTAATTAATATAACATATTAGCTTTATTATTTGATTTTCATTCTAGCATTCAGCACTTGTTTTGCTCACATTACCTATACGCAATGTATATATAGCAAAGAGTCTCTAGAAATGCTTTGACATTTGAAATTTTTTAAGTAACTGAGAGTCCTTTGCCTTTCATAGATGCAGACATGCCACGCTTTGCGGAGCCCATTGCCAATGTCACCGTCTCCATTGGCCGCGATGCGCTGCTCGCCTGTGTCGTCGAGAATCTGAAGGGCTACAAAGTGGCCTGGGTGCGCGTCGATACACAGACAATACTCTCCATACACCACAATGTTATATCACAAAATAATCGCATTAGTTTGACCTACAACGATCATCGATCGGTAAGTGTTTGCTTAAAGAATTTGTTAATCATGGAAAAAAAAATTTGAATTATTTTTAGAGAATTTTCCGTCTCCTTAAAAATTCTATCAAATTTAACAAATAGTAAAAGAAAATTTAAAAAATAATTATTATTCTTGCCAAAGAAGGAAAAGAACAATTAATAATATTTTTTTTTTATTTCATTATAAATTAATATTCCAATAATAATGCTCATGGCTGGGCTCATCATGTCTTTACTTAAATTAATAATTAAAATTTGTTACATTTAAATTTTGTTTAATTTTATTTATTTTCTTTTATGCATATTCTTTGACTTCATCAAATAATTTTCAATTATATATATATTTAAATCTATTAACAAAATAATAAACTTTACCCTTTCTAGTGGTATTTGCACATTAAAGAGGTGGAGGAAACAGATCGCGGCTGGTACATGTGCCAGGTGAACACTGTAAGTGCTTTAAGTCTCAAAATTGAATTAAAAAGGGCAAAAAACTTAAATCGATTTCTGTTCATGGACATTGCAGGATCCGATGCGTTCGAGGAAGGGCTATCTGCAGGTGGTGGGTAAGTAGATAGAGCAGAGCAATGCGCTGACAGCTGAACCGCAAGGCACATAACTCATTCTTTGATGACGCAGTGCCCCCCATGATAGTCGAGGGCATGACCAGCAATGACATGGTCGTCCGCGAGGGTCAGAATGTATCGCTGATGTGCAAGGCGCGCGGCTATCCCGAGCCCTACGTCATGTGGCGACGCGAGGACGGCGAGGAAATGCTAATTGGCGGGGAGCATGGTGAGTAATCAGCTACGCATTTCACAATCCCTGCACGCAATTCATTTCCTCGATGCGGTTTCTCCACTCCTTATGCAGTCAATGTCGTCGACGGGGAGCTGCTGCACATAACCAAAGTGAGCCGTCTCCACATGGCGGCCTATCTCTGCGTGGCATCCAACGGTGTGCCGCCATCGATAAGCAAGCGCGTCCATTTGCGAGTTCAATGTGAGTACTTCAACAAAGAACTTAAATACGTAAGCTTTATAAAAATATCAGTCTATTGATGGCACTTAATTAAGCTGAATTAAGCAGCAAAAGAAGGTTAAATATCATCAAATCGAAAAATATATATATTTAATATATTAAAAAACATTTAAATGCATAGGCCAAACTCTTTCATATGAGAATCGCTCTTTGAGTTAAAGAACTTAGAACTAGGGAGAGGCACCTCCAAAGCAGACCTCTACGATTTTTGAGAAGACATTTATTGAATACATAAATAACCCAGTTCCATTTTGAAGCCTAAATATTGAAAAATAAAAACAATATATCTTTCTTTAATTTTTTTTTATTTTCCAATATTTTTTTTTTTACTTATTTCATAGTTTGGTTATTTTATTTTTAAGTCAATTATTCAACAAAAAAAATTTTTGTATTTGTTTCCTTTCAATTTTATATATATATTTTAATATCTTTATTTAAATATTTGCTTATATAGTTTTTTTATATATTTATTTTGTTCCTATTCATGCATTTATTTATTTTTTTTATATATATTTATTTTTTTTTATAATTTTAATTATTTATTTATTTATACACTCTTCAATTTATTTATAAATTTTTTATATTTATTTCTTTACTCATTTATTAATTTATTTACTAATTATTATTAATAAATAATACATATCAATTCTGTAATTTCATTTTACGATTTTTTCTCTGTTACAAGAGTTTTCTTTCCACTTCAAGTTCAATTAATTAACAGATTTACTGTTAAAGAATCATGCAACATACAATTCTTATATTCAGTTGGACGTGAGGTAACGCGTTAAATCCATTTTGGGGCTACAAATGTTATGCAACATTTATGTGACGCTCGGTCCGAGCGCTGAGAGTCAGACGCGTTGTTAAATGCGTAAAATACACACACCCGCACACACGCACACACACATTCGCACACAAAGAAACAAAGCAAAGCAGGCCCCGCCTTACTCCTTGCTTTCCTGGCTGTTGCTGCTTCGGGGCAATAACCGCAGCGTGTCCTCAACATTGGCACACGAAATAGGAGCCCAGCGCTGGCGGCAACGTGTGGCAGAGGGCAGTGCTTCGAGGTGCACTCACTTGGCCGAAAATCGACCAAAGCTGCAGTCACGTTAAATTAATTTACCAGTGCGTCTGTGTGCGTGTGTGTGTATGTGTGGGTATTTGTTGTGTGTATGCGCTCATTTCGCCTTGTTTGTGGGCGTTTTGTTTGTTTGTTTGTCAGCAGGTGTTATTTTGTGCCCCAGCGCTGTGTACGTGGCGAAAATGCGTTGCCAATGCCATCAGAGTGCTTCTGTTGTTACTGCCACACACACACCCACGCACACATAGCTGGCGGCAGTTGCAGCAACAAAAGCTATTTACACACACCCAGGCACAATCTCACGCTTAACAGGCGCACTTTTAATGACCGAATGCATTTTAATCCAAAAACAGTTTGCAAACTCACGTAAAATCCAAGCGAAAATTGCTTTTGCAAAATCTGTGATGGAAATTGAAAATTTGTTGATCAGCAAAATATCGTTTATATGCAGCCCAAAATCCATAAAAGCTTATGGACTCATAGAGAGTTTTATAATTTGAGCAAAATAAACGTGACTAAATATGCTAAAATAACAACAAATATTTCATTTAAATGCTTAAACTTTTATTTTGCGAAAAATATTTTAATAAATTGTCAAATATAATTTTGAATATTAAGAAATTTTATTTCGAAATTCTTAGCTCTTAACAGTTAAGCAAGAAATCATTTGACATTTAATTTAGAATTATTATTAGTACATGACCTTGTAGTTATACTGTATATTTATTTATTTTATTTATATTTATTTTACTTCACTTTTTTATATCAAATATTTTTAAATATTTATTTAGATATTTAGGATTATTTCTACTTCTTTTATTTTATTTTACTTTTTTTGAATCCTTTCACAAATTAAATGTTTTTAAATATAATTTTTGGATCTATCTATGGATAGTGTGTTCTTTTAGTAATTAAATAGCTCTAACTCACAAAATCTAAAATAAATAATATAAATAATAAGGGATAATGCTCCTGAAGTAGGCCCGAGGCAGCATCTTTTCGATAACATAAAATTTTTTAATATATTTTTTAAGTAAATGCAAATAAATTTATTTTCGTTTTAGATTTTAGTTATTAAGAGATTTAATAATATAATATAATAATTTTTGTATTTCTTTTGCAATTATTCGATTAATATTTGAACAAAAGATATTTTCCAATTTCAATATCTGTTTTTTTGTCACATTTTTCAGTTCCTCCCATGCTGTCCATACCAAATCAGCTGGAAGGCGCCTATTTGGGCCAGGATGTTATGCTGGAGTGCCATACAGAGGCCTATCCGGCCTCTATTAACTATTGGACTACTGAACGCGGCGACATGATAATATCAGGTAATGTCAACTGCCAGCCAACTCTTTAAGCTCTGCTTATTGACAACGTTGCGTGGTTTACCCTCTGTCTGTATATACGCTGGAAGAACTTCAATCTTGACCAGAAGCGTGCATTGTAGCCACGTTTATTATGTGGAAGAGCGTTTGTAAATGAGCTTACAATGTAATCAACATGCTGTCTGGCCAAGACCAGAATATTGCGCTCGGCGGGGGCGCACTCAGAAAATTGTCATGTAAAATGGCAAAAATTAAAACTCGCATCACGGCGTAAGCCCGAAAAATAAGTTAAGCTGCTGACGTTGCCACACAGCCACTGCCACAGCAGCGGCAACTGCAACAAAAATGAAAACAAATGAAAATCCATTGGCAAACAATGACGTGGGCTGCTGTAGAGGCTGCTGTTGCTGCTGCTGCTGCTGTGGCGATTTCTTTTTTGCATTACTCATACGCACTGAGTGACAGGCATTCGAGAAACACGAACAGCAACTGTTGAGCTGTTAATGTCACATTGTAGAGCTTTAAAAGTGATTGTCTGCATCGAGCTATACTTGACAGCTGACTGTGCCTGCAGCCCAGAAGAAGCTGCCAGCAAGCGCATTTAAAGGCGAAGTGGCCAAGTGCACAGCGGCAAAGCTGCAAAGCTGCTTAAGTTCTTAAACGTTTTTTTTTTCATGACATTTGACAGCTTATAGATTTGTTGACTTCACAAATATATATATTGTTCTATAGTCACTTTATTTATTTTTTATTTATTTTTTTTTGTAATCCGAAAACAAGAATTTTATATATTTTAAGAGATTTATAAAATTCTTTACTCTAATATATATTATAAAAATTATTTTGAAAACTTTTTATTTGTAAGAAATATTAAACAAAATTAATGAGTGAGTTGTATGTTTGTTATAATTAAGTATTTTTTTATCAAGACTTTTATTTTTTCGAAATGAGTTTCTCAAAATGCTTAACTGCAATATTAAATCTATACAGCTATAAGCCATGTATGTCTTTATATAGCTGTAGCTATTTCAGCTGAAATTTTTGGGGTACTCTAACAGCATGCTTAAATACCATCATTATATCAATTTTTGCTTTTTTTTCTAAACTTAATTTTGGCATGTGAAAATTGTACTTTTCCCTTACTCTTTTCCTTAAATTAAGTTGTTAAAAAATTTGGTTTTAACAGCATTAAATAGTTTGTGAACTTTGCTAAAGAGCTGCTGTGTGAGTTACAATATTTTTACGTGGCTTGCAGCAATTGCACATAAACGTTGACTGAGAGCGTGGATTCAACTCGGATTTGAGTATTGCGCTCAGCGCTTGCTGCTCTTTGGATATTCCAGCCGCCGTGACTGGACTGTATTGAGAATTTATGATTAGATCATTGTTTGCTACTTGCCATTTACTCGAAGCCTATTATTCATATTTCTTGTCAACTAGAAACAATCTTCTCATAAATTGCCTTCTCTTTACCTCTAACTTACCCTCTTCAACTTTCTCCACTTAAGTTAAGCTAGAAGTTAGAATATCTGAAATGAGTTCTTCTATTTTGAGCTTCAAATGAGGCTTCATGAGACAACACTTCTTTAAGCTTTCAGCTCACAATTTCGCTCAATGAGACTTATTTTCATTTTGTCATGATATAGTTGCATTTCTCTCACTTCAGCACAATCTCACGCAGTAGAGGGAGCTCTGTCTGAACAGAGCTCAACGCAAATCAAGAACTTCAGTACGAAGCAAATAAAAATTACTTGCAAAATCTGCTTTTACACCATTTTTAAGATGCAATTTTTAATTTTTTAATTCCATTAAATTTTATTTATAATTTGCATTTGAAATAAAATTAATTAATGCAATGGGGTAAGTGTCATGGGTATATTCTCTTTGGGCTTCTTCTGTGGCGGAGTCTTGTGGCAAGTATCTCAGGATAGGAGTACAGGTTGCAGTGGTATATTGCTAATTGCTTGTTTATTACATCTCCAACGGTTGAGTACAAACTTAATTGTTTACAGCTCTATAGCAAAAGAAATTCATGAATTATTATGAAATATTATAGTATATGAAAATATATAAATCTGCTTAAAATCTGAAAAAGATTCGCACAATACAGTTTCATAAAAATCCCTTTTTTTTCTCTTTTAAAATAATTATTTTATTTTTAAATGAATATATATATATAAATGCACATGTATATAAGAAAATAAAATATATAAATATATATATTAAAACACATTTAATGGCTGTAAAAACGAGGCTTATTTTTTAGCCCATATTTAATTAAGCAGACAATCGTATTTTAATCAGAGTATAAGCGATGCGCATACATAAAATCAAATGTATATATATATAGTTAATAATATACATATAAAGATAACTCTACGAATCACATATTTTGCTGATTGCCATTCGAAATGCGCTTTAATTGATAACTAATTAAATTACTGCAAAGTTTCATACAAAACAATAGATTTTAATTAATCACTGAATTCGCAGAAGTGTAATAAATAATCAAAAATGGAAATCGCATATTGTAAATAACGCACTGATTATATAAAGCGAAATTTAAATAAATATGAGAGCAGCCAAAAACAATATCAAATGCTCTGAGCACACAGACCGGCCGACAGACGTTAGAATTGTCACAAAATATTATGTTTTAGCGGAAATTATTTGAACATAATCGCATTGGCAAACACACATGTGAGTAAAGCGCCTAAATGCACGTGGAAGCATGTGCCAGGACCACAAGGATAACATCAGCTCACTGGGACAACCAATGAAAATACTAAATAATTAACACGTCACAGACGCAAGCCTCAAATGCCAAAATCAATAAAATTCCGCTGGCCAAACAAATCGTAGCATACTTTTCAGGGCTAAGTATTCATAAACCAAAGGAAGCCCGCATAAAACATGCTTTATTCTTTATGATGTTGAGCTGATGACTCAGCTCTTGCTAGTCATGAGCATAGAAATTATAATAGCTAGACTAACATGGCTATATCTCTCTTTTTTATGCTTAAATGCTGTTTGTTTGTTCGATATGCCACATGTATATACATATATATATTAGTGACACGACATTCATGTGTGTGTGTGTTGGGCAAATTATGGCCCAGGTTGTAGAGACATTTCATATGCACACACGCATAGGCTGCAAACAAAACGCGAGCTGGAGATATGAACATTTGCGGGGGCGTCGCGCATGATGCATGGCAAACAGGCACCAAAAACTTTTTGGGTAATAAATTTTAAGCGATTCCGCAGCGAAACGCATGGAAACTAGTTTGCTTATGTGTGCGTGCGTGTATGTGTGTATAGCTGCAGGAGGGTGGCCAAAGCAACTAGAAAAAGAAAGTTATCTAGTTCAGTTTGCAGATTGAAAGTTAGGAAGTGGTTAAAGCTAAAGCGACAGCAGCACATACCAAATTAGAAGTTGAAGTTGTTTAGAGTGGCAAAAAATAAAAAACTAAATAACAAATATATATATATATACAACTTATATTTTAAGATAAAGCAAACAATACAGAGTTGATAGAAGAAATGGAAATTTATAAATGAATATTTAGAGATTGTTATACAAAAGGTAGTTGAAAAGTTGACCACAACCTACAGATACATATATGCGACGGGGCATCCAATGAAACTCAGCAGACAATATTTTGCTACATGACAGAGTTACCACACCTCCAGCTGCGATAACGATCGCCCGGAAAAAAGGAATCTCCTATCTCCTATCTCCTATCTCCTATCTCCTATCTCCTATCTCCTATCTCCTATCTCCTATCTCCTATCTCCTATCTCCTATCTCCTATCTCCTATCTCCTATCTCCTATCTCCTATCTCCTATCTCCTATCTCCTATCTTATCTCCTATCTCCTATCTCCTATCTCCTATCTCCTATCTCCTATCTCCTATCTCCTATCTCCTATCTCCTATCTCCTATCTCCTATCTCCTATCTCCTATCTCCTATCTCCTATCTCCTATCTCCTATCTCCTATCTCCTATCTCCTATCTCCTATCTCCTATCTCCTATCTCCTATCTCCTATCTCCTATCTCCTATCTCCTATCTCCTATCTCCTATCTCCTATCTCCTATCTCCTATCTCCTATCTCCTATCTCCTATCTCCTATCTCCTATCTCCTATCTCCTATCTCCTATCTCCTATCTCCTATCTCCTATCTCCTATCTCCTATCTCCTATCTCCTATCTCCTATCTCCTATCTCCTATCTCCTATCTCCTATCTCCTATCTCCTATCTCCTATCTCCTATCTCCTATCTCCTATCTCCTATCTCCTATCTCCTATCTCCTATCTCCTATCTCCTATCTCCTATCTCCTATCTCCTATCTCCTATCTCCTATCTCCTATCTCCTATCTCCTATCTCCTATCTCCTATCTCCTATCTCCTATCTCCTATCTCCTATCTCCTATCTCCTATCTCCTATCTCCTATCTCCTATCTCCTATCTCCTATCTCCTATCTCCTATCTCCTATCTCCTATCTCCTATCTCCTATCTCCTATCTCCTATCTCCTATTCCTATCTCCTATCTCCTATCTCCTATCTCCTATCTCCTATCTCCTATCTCCTATTTCCTATCTCCTATCTCCTATCTCCTATCTCCTATCTCCTATCTCCTATCTCCTATCTCCTATCTCCTATCTCCTATCTCCTATCTCCTATCTCCTATCTCCTATCTCCTATCTCCTATCTCCTATCTCCTATCTCCTATCTCCTATCTCCTGTCTCCTATCTCCTATCTCCTATCTCCTATCTCCTATCTCCTATCTCCTATCTCCTATCTCCTATTTCCTATCTCCTATCTCCTATCTCCTATCTCCTATCTCCTATCTCCTATCTCCTATCTCCTATCTCCTATCTCCTATCTCCTATCTCCTATCTCCTATCTCCTATCTCCTATCTCCTATCTCCTATCTCCTATCTCCTATCTCCTATCTCCTATCTCCTATCTCCTATCTCCTTGCCCCTTTCCCCTTTCTCCTCTCTCCACTCTCCTCTCTTTTCTCTCATCTCTCCTCTTTCCCCGCTCCTCTCTTTTCTCTCCTCTCTCTCTCTCTTAAATATCTCTCAATGCCGTCTCAATTCTAACCCAATTCTGTCACATTGAGCCCAACAACTTGTCATACAGCCCTCTTGGCAACTGTCGCTGGCACATGCCATTTATCACAGACTTAGTCAGGGACAGGACAGGCAGTTCTCTCACAGACTGCCGCTGATGCATGCCACAGTCAGTGCCACAAAAAAGAAAGAATTTACCAAAAAAGGAAAGAAAACATGAAACTTGTGTTTTATGTCCCAATATCGGATGGCGGCGTATTAAAAGTATAAAGTTGCGCGATTCGCATATGTCGAGGTCTCCGCTGCTGCTGCTGCTGCTGCTGCCTTTGATTATGAGTTAAATTATATATTTGCGTGTCAGCGCGGCTTATAATACAGCACGAAAAGTATCTGAGTAACTGCGGCGTCACAAAAGGTGACTGACTATAAAAAAAGACGAACAAGAAAGGACGAAAGAGGAACATGCATGTGCCGCAACGCAAATTGTTTTTGCCAAACCAACAGCCAAAGACATTTGTCACACACACACACAGGGAGAGAGACACACACATTTAGGCAACACATGGCGTATGAGCAACATGCGACATCGCCTTACACTGCGCCAAACAATCAAACTGAAATTAAGTTTATATATTTAATGCTTCTACTTATAGCCGATATAGACCTGCGCCTAGGCTAGACCAACGAAATAGGCAGCGAAATTAAAGCCGCCAGCGAAGAAGAAAAAATAAAAGTGGAAATACTAGAAGAAGAGGAGAGAAAAAAGTAAAGAACATGGAACAAAAGTTTTTCTTTTAGATTTTCACTGATTAATGAGAAAAGTTTTATTTAGTTCAGGGCATAGGGAACACCCCTACTATTGAACTGCGGCAGTTTTAATTACACATACACGCAGATGGCAACAGCAGGGGGGAGAGAGAGTGAAAGGTGAAAGGGAGAGAGAGGCGAGAAGCGCGTAATTAGTTTGAGTTGCCATTGAAAATACACACACACACACACACATAGAGAGAGACTAAGAAATGCAGGTGACATTAATTAATTGATTTATTTTTTCTCTGCTCTTAAAGTTTTGCGTTTGTTAAGCAAAACTTTAAAGCTACAATGGGCATACCCTAGAACCCATTGTATGTGGGAAAGGGAGTATTGATTTTGTAAGCATGTATGTAACAGGCAGAGGAAGGCGTGGCAGAGCACTTAAAGCATAGATAATCTTGATCAGGACGAGCTGAGTTGATCTAGCCAGATTAATGCAGCCATCTCCTGAGCTACAAAAGACTTGAACTGTTAATATTTTGTCATATTTTTTTCGATTGTTATCGATCAAAATCGATAGTCGTACTTTGTTTTGTAAATGCTGTAGACTTTAGATTTACTGCGTAGATAAATGTATATACAAAGATTTTGTATATTTTTGATTTTGGATTTTGATACCTCCACCCTACCCTTCCCTAACCCCTTGAAATAAAAAATTACTTCAAGTGGTAGAGACTTGTGCTTTAGCAAATACACACTTTTGAGTGTCATTTTTATGCTCTACAAATTTATTTAAAAATTCCATCTAAAACATAGGATATTCAAAAATTAAGTTCCCATTGTGTTCCATGAGCGCAGCCCAAGCGCAGTCGCTGCGCAGTAAGCAGAGTGTCAGCTTATGTGTGTGTGCGTGTATGTGTGCATATATGGGTGCAAGTGTATAGCAAACAACATATATGTATGTGCGTATTAATGAAGCGTAGAATGATTGGTCAGGCTTTCGGGTATCTCCTAGTCGAGCACTCCTCACTGGAGCGCTCTCACTTGTTTATTGCAAATGATATAGTTTTTGTTGCATTTCATTCGAATTGTCGCTCTCTTTTTTGCATTTTGCAGACACTTCGCGAGCGGGCGATAAATACGAGACCACATCAACCGTCAGCGGTTATACGAAATATATGAAGTTAAAAATTCGCGCCGTTGGTCCAAACGATTTTGGCACCTATCGCTGCGTGGCAAAAAACTCGCTGGGCGAAACCGATGGCAACATTAAGCTCGACGGTGAGTGACACCCACACACAAACACACACATACATACACATATTTTTTTTTTTAACTATCAACTATTTTTTTGCAATTTACTGCAATTTATTTGCTGCATTTGTGCAGCAGCCATAAAAATGACTTCGAATTTTTCATCAGTTTAAAGTTTTTTTCTATTTTTTTTTCGTTAGCTGTCAAAGAGTAGACATTATTTAAATACCATAAAGCATTGCTATAGGTTCATATATTTTATAAAATTGTCAAATGAGCAGTATATATATTTTCAAAAATAAAATTTAATTTTAACTACGCAAAATATGTGTTAAATAAACATTTTACAGCCAGTGGATTTTTCAGGGTATTTAAAAAATATTGAAAAAAACAGATTTTATATTATTTATTCTGAAAATTCTTTTAAAGTAATTTTGCAGTCTATAGGAATTGTTGCAAAATGAATATTTAACGTACTCTTTCAGCCAACTTTGTCAAAATTCATAGCCAAAGATAGTCAGTAATGTTAATGAAATAAACTTATATCTGAAGATAAAAATTTAAAATTTAAAAAATTTTATTGTTTATATTTATTAAATTTTTTATATATAATTTATAAATTTTATTTATCATTTATTTCCGTTTTAATATTATATATAATATAAATATTTTTTTATATTTTGTATATTTATTTAATAATTTATATTTAATATTTTCTTATAAGTTTTATAGTATATTGTTTAATGTAAAACTAATATATATATTACTATTTAAATTTATATATGCTTAGTATTTAATTTTTAAATTGTATAGCTAAATAATTTAAAGTTCATTTTGTAAATTAAATACTTAAAATAAAGGAAACAAAATATAATTTTATTTATAAAAATATAAATTAAATATATAAATTATTTATTTATAATAATTTATTGTATATAAATATGCTAAATTATTTATTTGATATATTTTTATATTTCTTTATTTTTTCCGTCTTTTATTTCTTTTTTTATTTGTGATTAATAATTGTTATATATATTTTCGTATTAGTTTTATAGTTTAATAATTTTCTGAGTTCTTTTAACACACTTTCAACAAAATAATATTTTATGTATATTTTTTATATTCAATTTTTGTATTACCTTGGCTAAACACAAATACAAAATAAAATATATTTTGACCTCAATTTATTTGTTTAGATAAAGCAAACATTGAAAATCTTCCACAGAAATGCCCACGCCCACCACAGCAATCATATCCGAGATGGCCATGCTGAATCGCAGCTATGGTAAGTGCCAGCAGAAGCTTTTTCGATTTGGCCACAGTCAAAGGCTGTGCCAAGCTGTAGCTTAACAACTATCTTAAGGCACCACCCACTCACTCACTCAACCTTCGTCTAAATTGGTTTCGCATAATTTTCAATTTACAATTTTATGCACCGCAAATCATCAGCACTCAACGACCTCGAAAAAAAAAACAGAATTTAGCTTTAATTAAAAAAGATTTATTGATTTTTGTAGAGTTATGTGTAAAGAAACCTTAAAGTAATTTGCTAACTAAATTGTTTTCATAAAGAGTCTTGGCAAATAGCTGCAGAAATATATTTCGAAGCAAGCTCTGGACAAAGTCCCTAAACAAGCTCCACTCGTAGCATAAACCCTTTGCTCCATTACAAGTACCTGCCCCTCTCTCTCGCCCTCCCTCACTCCATCTCACTCTCATTCCCATTGTTTTGCATGCAATTTTCTGTGTTGATTTTTTGTTGTTGCTTGTTTTACCATATTTACTTTTGTTAGCGCTCCTCTCGCTCGCTGTCAGACGTCTATTAAATGCAAATAAATGCAAAAATTAAATAAAAATACTTGGAATACTATTACGTCTATGTGCATTATACGTTTTTATATGGCTTTTTCTTTTACCACTTTGCCTAGCCTGTTGAAGTTCGTTTTCTGGCTATTTCTTTCATGTTGCCTGCCAAAAGAAAAAACAAAAACAAAAACAGAAACACAAATTTTTCAACAACAACAAAATGATAATAAACAAAACTCCAACAACAACAAACCGTCATTATTCATATACCTTGTGCCGTGCCAAAAACACGTCCAACTCTTACTCTCTCTCTCTTACTCTCTCCCTTTCTCTCTCTCCCTCCATCTTGCTGATTCTTGCTGCATAAAATTATACAAAAAAAAAGATGGCAAGAGACGTCATAGAAATAAATTTGAGTCGGCTAACGCTTTGCCTGATTACGGGGTTGAGGAGTGGCGTGACGGTGCTCAAGGTAAGTACACGCTGCGAGTCTGGTCCAAACCTACACCTACCTGTGCTCTCACCTAAAGATACAAAGAGCAAAACTCTGCTCTTTGTGTATCTGCAGCTGCAGCTGCCTTTTTGATAGCCATCGCTGCTGCACTTTTTCATCATTTTCACACAGTTTCCCAGCCTGCCACCCGCCCTCTCACTCTCTCTGGCATTTTCTTTTCATTCATTTTTATATATTTCAAGTGCGTCGCCGTTGGCTTTCCCGTGTTGCCAGTTGCCATAATGCAAAACTTATAATAGCTCTTTTGGCTTTTTGTTTGGGCCATGGCCAAGTGTTTGGCGCCAACGTTAAAAATTAATTAAATTTCCTTGACGTTTGCATTGCACAGTTGTTATTGTTGTTTCCTTTTTCGTGTTTTCCATTTTCATTTCATGTTTAGCTGCAAATACGCAATGCGCTTTATTGCCATTCGCCGTCTTGCAGCAGGCGTTGCATCTCAGATTTATAAAGTGCCACAAGCATAAAGCGCTCAACTAACAACAAGAACAAGTAGAAGAGGAAGAAGGCAATCAACAGTGAGCGATAGTGGGTGTTGCTCTTGCGAGCTCTCAAAGAAATAAGTAGATGAAAGTTTTAGCCGTTTTATTGAATGAGTGGAAAGAGCTCAACGATTTGTAGTTTCATTTGCCAACTCAACAGGCCGACGAGGCAGAAGTTAGTTAACCTGGTTAGAGCTGGTCAGCTTTCTATAGAGCGCATTGAAGATGTTGCATGAATATAAGTTAAAAGAATTATTATATGCTGCATAGCTAGCAAATCTTTCAGATACAGTAGCTACTATGAGTATGCTGCCTTCTTACGCTGCATCAATTAAAAAGGGAAATCTTGGCTTGTTAAAATGTATGCAACAGGCAGAAGGAGGCGTGCCAGATCGTCTGTCCGTATAAAGAAAGGCAGAGGGGGCTTGGTAGAGGCTCAGGGTATCTCCTAGTCGGGCACCTCCGACTAGAGCTTTCTTACTACTATAACAAATAAATGTATAAGTTAGAAAAACCATAGCAAGCCGTGTTCAAATAGTTTATTTGTTGGCCTGTAATTATACTCAGTCTGTGTATTCAGTCGGGAGTGATAGTTGGGATAGTTTTCTGACAATTCAATGGGAAATGCCTTGTTTTTCACACCTTTTCGCATTTAATTTTTGTTGTGAGCTCTCCTTCAAGTTATCTTGGCAAATTTATAGAAATTAAATAATAATAATATAATAAATAATTAATATAATTAATAAAAATAATAATTAATATAAATTATATGAAAATATTTACAAAATTCATAAGTTTAGTCCGAGGTATGTGCTAGTCGGGCATAGCCTTGTTCTATCTATCATATGGTTAAGAGCATGCAAACAAAGCATTTCAGACTTCTCCGTTATTCACAGCTTCAAATGATATTGTATAAGCCAGACTAGCACAGTTAACTTATAGCAGCAATGAAGTAAATATATATAAATATAAATGTTGTAACAGCTTTAAGTACACATTTCTATGACTAGCTTCAAACAGTTAGTCAGAAAACTGTTACCAATATCAATTTCAATTTATATTTCCCTTTCTGGAATTTGAATTTCGGTTTCAATAACTTAATTGCTTGGCCTATGGCCTATTATCATGGCAACAGATCTCAACGCTGCCAAAAAATAGTTTAAATAGGAAAAGCCACAAATCAATTTCGCGCTAATAACGCCGTCATTTCAATTAAAATGCGGTAAAAGTGCGTCTAAATCAGATAACAACAAAATGCTAGGAAAAACCAGCAACAGCAGCAAGCAAAATGTATAAAATGACGGCAAGCTGCAATGGAATGCAGTTCGCATGCTGCACATCAAACCAGCCACAAAAGCTAACCAACAAATTGAGGGCAACGAAGGAACGGGTGGAAGAAGTTGGATAGAGGGAAGAGCAGGCAGGAGGTTAGTAAACTAAGCCACAAAATGCAGCCGCAAAACACAACCTAGCAACAATTTATTTTGTATTTTATTCCATTTTCATTTCGAATGCAGTTCGTGAATGTTTCACGCCAAAAAGCATGTGTATGCGTGCCACTGTGTGCTTGAAAGAGAGAATGATGTGTTTGGGTGAGAAAGTGCTCTACGTGTGTGTGTGTGTATAAGAGTTTTGCTAAGCGTGCAAGAGAGAGAGTGATGCAGAGAGTAAGTGAGCTATGCATGTGTATGTGCGTTCACTGCTCGTTGTACCGTTCAAAATAAATCTGCTGCAATAAAAATGCCATCAATCGCAAAGCCAAATGCAACAACAGCGATCAGGGCGGGCAACAGCTTAAATGTTGATTGACACTGACATTGTGACGTTGTCAATACCAATATCCACGTCTGTTCAGCCGCAGGATACGCGTGTCCTGTCCTCTACATTATTCACTAAAAACTTGTGCATGTCACAAATTAGTTGCGAAAAAAAGAGACGAACAAACAAGCAAACTCAACGACAAATTAGCCATAAATAGCGAGTGGTTTTATTGCGGTTTTAAGCAACAAATTTTTGGTCGCCTGCCATTTAATCCTTGGCGCATAACAACAACAAGCGCAACAATAACAACATGGCTGGCTGACCAAAAATATTTGCGAGCAGAAATGTTGATTGCATTTAAAATGCAATTATTTAAGGCATGCGTCCGTGAAATGCCGCTCAAGCGAGTGCACTAATGAACTGGATCCGAACTGAGCGAACGGAACTGCATGGAGCGGGCGGGAGCGGAACCATATCGCTTGTCTGGACAAAGGCTATGTCGAAGAGCTGGCAAACGCACTCGTGCATTGCAAGTGCCTTAAAAAATGGAGAAGGAGCAAGAAGTAGAAATGAAAGAATAACAGAAAAGAAAAAGAAGAAAACAGTTTGCTTTGGCAGCACAGTCGATAAAAACACTTGAGTTTCTTTTTAAAAGAAACCTGATGCGAACAATAATCCCATTAAGCACAATGAAAACACATATGATGTAGCAATAAACTCATTTTGTTATTGTATTTCTGTATTTAAATAACTTCTTATTATCAATATTACGAGCTCCGCTACTCCCAATCAAAGTTATTATATGTAATTTTGTTAGAAATAAGCAGAGACCCTCAAAACAAAGTTCACTCATTACATCCTTTGAGTTAAAACAAGCAGCTGACCACAGCTTGGTTGGATCATAATTAGTTGAAGAGAGACACTCGTCTTAGTGAAAGCTAAAATGAGAGCTTAGCTAATAGCTTTGCGTAAAATCCGATTCGCACACATCCACACTATCGAGTGGTTTAAGATAACTTAATTTTTATAATATTTATATAAATTCAGCTATATTAGAATTCATTAATAATTAATGTGCAATACAAAGTTGTATCAGATTATAAAATTTTAAAGCGTCACTTAGAAATAAGTACAAAACAAATGTGTTGAGGCTGATCAAGCAATAAATTCATTTATAATTTATCATGTTATTTAAACATATGTATATACACGTCTATGTTTATATAATTATCTACAGCTGCTTGAGCTCGTTAAAAAACCAACAGCTGGTACCGTTAATTTTTGGTCTTGTGCGCTATGCTATGCTTTTATCTTCTGTTTTTTCGACATCGTTTCTGTTGGATGAGTTTATGCCTAAGTAGGAGTCGGCACAGTATTTTAACGGTACATTTTGATGAGCGTTTGCACAGCAAATATCTATATGAAAGAGAAAGAGAAGAATGTACGTTTAAAAATAAACATACGAAAATACTCTACTAAAGCTGAGCATATTGATTTGACTAAGCTTATAAATATTTGAGTAAATAATAAAAATTATTATTAATGATGTACTTTTTTCTTCTAAAACGTAAATATATTTTTTATTAATATGAAAATTTTAAACTTTGGATTGCCAGTGACTTAACTATTCTTAAGACCTTATAATTGAAAATTTGTTCCCAATTGGTGCTATATTATAGAGTAATTTCATATTAGGCAGAATTCTGCTCTGCCTAATTTAACCGCATTGAAAATAAAAAATTGTACAGAAAAAAAAGAACTTCACACACAAATCTTAAAATATTGATTTAAATCACGCCTCGAGTCGAAAATATAAAAATAATTTCATAAAAATAAATATTTTATTTAAGCTCACAAAAAAAATAAACAAACACTGCCACAAAATGGTTTTTTGATTGATTTGCGATTGACAGCTTTGACGTAGAGTTTTCAGCCTTTTGTTTTGTCAACGTCACCGCTTATAAATAAAACAACAAACATATATAAATAGACCCATGAGCTAAAGTTGAAAAATCAGAACAAAGATGCGTGGCATCAAAAAAAAAAAAATGGGGAAAATTTATTGCCCTGAATTGGCATCGAATGAAATATGCCATCAAAATTGTCTGAATGTCGGCTCTGACACCTTTTCAATGTGTTCTCAATCAAGCGTGAATACGGGCACCCATATGCACACACAGACACACATACGCACACGCTTGATATTTATGTCTTTGACATCAATCAAAGGGCAATGCGAATTTCCGACTAAATTTTGCTTCGAGCCTTAAACAAACAGCTCAAGGCTGAGTGAGGCGTACAAATTGAGTAAGTGCAAGTGTGAGTGAATGTGTGGGTGAGTTTATGGGTGTGTATGTGTGTGAGTGTTGTTTGTGTGTCTTTCCTCTTGATGCTCTTGAAAATGCTTCAAGTTTGACTTATTTGAAGTATTTGCGCTTTGTTGCGTCTATCACTTTATATTTATGACTTTGACTATAGTCAAAATCAACAACAACAACAATATGTGCAACTGTCCAAAATGGCTATATGAGCAACAGCAACAGTAAAAACAACAACAAGCGCCACAAGGACCTCAAAAAGCCAGCAGCAGGAAAATCAACGCAATGCGCGCTTAAATACCACTTTGTTGTTATTTATGACGCCAGCTGATGAAAAGCCAAATGCCAAAAGATTAAAAGCTGATAAAATATATTTAATAGCCCTCATACGTATGTACTTTCGACCAGCAAACACTATGAACTCCCCTTATATGTATCTGAGTGGCTGTGCACAGTGGTATGCATGTGATGGAATAGAGAAGAAAAGTTTTTATCATGCAAATTAATATAAATTAAATGAAAATAACATAAACTAACTTAAATACAAAACTTAAGTTCAAACAAACATTTTAAAATAACTTATATTATATAAATATTCAATTTGAGAAAATTCAAAAATATTTAAAAACCAAATATAAAAAAACTTAATTTAAAGTACTATAATTTAAATATATATACATAAGTTATTATTAATTTAGATATTTTTATAAAATTACATTTATTATACAAACAATATATTTTATGAATCATTTCGATTATTTGTTAATCAATAATGTCTAGTATATAATTAAATTATATACATGAAGCTTATCTTAATTAAAAGTTCTACTTTCCCAAAGTACTAAGACCACTGTGCCTGCCATATATCAAACATTGACATGCGGTCAACAAAGTGCGTTCAATGACGTGCATAAAAACCAAAGGCAGCTACAACAACAACAACAACAACAAGTTGGAATGTGAGAGGGAAGAGGTTGGAGTGTGAGCGGGGGTATAGCACTCAATCAAGCATAGAGACAGGGCCACACGCTGTCCAAGCTTTGGGTACATTGACTGCCCGCCACATAAAGACGCACAGAAGCAGCCAGAACGGTAAAATATTGTCGAGTAATCGCTGTCGAAACGCTCGTCGAATGCATTGACGATATAAAGACACACAATGACGTTGTAAAAAAAAAGAAGAAATAACAGTCAGATGGACAGACAGAGGGAGAGAGAGAGAGATAGAGAGAATGAAAAGAGGGTGGGAAGTGGAATACGTATAAAAATGCTGAGAGGAAGCAGGGCAAGTAAAAGATGTCAACAAGCAGCAAGCCGAAATGGAAGCCATTCGGGTAGCTCTGGCTTAAGTGAGCTCCATAAATAGAGCTGTTGACCAGAGAGAAGTTGGAGGCGAGGGAAAGAGACAACAGTGAAGGGGAGAGGGAGAGAGAGAGGGAGAATGAGTGAGTCAGGCCATTGGCTGTTGACCAGTTTATATATAGAAATAAAGCTAAAGTTGGGATTGTTTGCACTTGAAAATTAATTTTTCTGATTACAGATTCTAAATTTTAAATAAAAAAGAATTAAGGGTATATTTAATAAAATTTTAATATACATTTAAAGAATTTGAAATTAGGAGATTGTTAAGCGTAGAGTAGTAGAGTAAAAAACTTGAAATATTTTTTACTTTTCAAAAGTTTTTTTAAATAATATTATTATATAAAATGTTTTTTAATATTTTTATAACTGTTAAATATTAATTTTAAAAAGAGTTTAAATATTTATTAAGCACTTGATTTCCTAGATATGTTGTGATTTAACTATAAATATATATATATATATATATATATATATATATATATATATATTTCTATCTAAATATAAATATATATATATATATATATATTAATATATTTATATCTGAACTCTATAAATCAGCAAATTCTGATGCAATTATTTGCCTGCTGCAAATTGCATAATTTTGATTACATTTCCTTAAGTCTGCTCGCTTTGATTATAATTTGCTTGGCTACTGCATTCGATTAATGAAATCCCATTGCCAATTTTGAGGTTTATGAGCCAAATGTGCCAATTTAGCTCTTGGCCAGACAAACAGCAATTGGCCCAAACCGCAGAGTGCAAAATCAATAAATTAACAAGCAATACTCATATTGCCTAACCAGCAGCTAGCTAACAGGGCAACTATTAAATGCATTCCACCAGCTCCACCATAACCACTAACCGTAGCAATTTCCTTTTACGTTCCCAACTGCCTGGCCTGGCCTGGAATGGCCTGGTCTGGCCCCTTGATAAAAAGCATTTATCCAGTGCCATTTTGGCTTTGGCAACGCGCAAAATAAATGAAAATATAAACCCGACTAACCAAAAACTGATTACTACAAGAGCTCAAACACTCATGCATCCCTTCTGTTTTCTTCCCCCTCGCTCCGTTTTCTTGTTCTTGTTCGCAGGCAACCATGGTGGCAACACTGGCGATAACAATCAAACGCCCGTGCGTAATCCGCCCGGAGCATTTCACAATTCTGCAGGCTCACTGGCACAGCATAATCTACTTGGTAAAATAATGCGCGGCATTAAAACGCAATCATTTGGGATTTTCAAACGTTTATCGAGTTATTTGCCAGCGGCGCTGTCGACGTCGCTGCCAGCGTCGACGAGTCGATGGCGTATGAGTAATATGAAAAGCCAGGCCCACGTTCAGCCACTGGAGACTGCTGTCAGCGTGCAGTCAAACATAAACAGCAGCAGCAGCGACGGCAGCAGCGACGGCAGCAGCATCTGCCAAAGGACACGACACAGTAGCAATCGATGGGCGTGGCAGCGTGAGCTGCGCATATTTCACATAGCTCATACGCCGCGTGCGACGCAATGCGATTGGCCAACGCTCATTTGCATAGTAATATTGGCAACGAGCTTTGCTGTTGCCGCGGATGTAATGCCAGCGCTGTTGTTGTGGCTGTTGCTGCATTTTATCGGCAGCCGGATCGCATTTTCTATTAGTGCGGCGCATAGGCAACACTTAATGTTAACATTTTCGGCTGTTGGTAATAAGGTTGCCGCATTGTTGCCGCAAATTTATACAACAACAGCAGCAGCAGCCGCCGCAGCCCAGCCAAACACATTCAGTGTGCTGTGCCAGCGTTGGCATTCAAGATGAAATCAAATAATTGCAAAAAACTCATTTAGGGCACAACAACATGAATCAGATGATGAAGAAGAGGAAAACGCAGAAGCAGAAGCAGAACAAACAGCGCGCCAAGAGCGTGCGAAATAGAATCAAACTTAGAGAAGTAAGTAAAAGTATAGCACACAAAAAAAAAGAATATAAATAGTATATAAAAGTTGTGCAAGAAATACTCATATATATATATCCCATATATACTCAAACTACATATATATATATATATATAAATTGTATAGCTATAATCGTAAAATGATTCTCATGTTAAGTGACAACAGCAATTGACCAGGCTTTAACATTTACTTTTTAATTGCCAATCAACAACAGCAGCAGCGGCAGCTTCAGCGTGCTAACAGCATTTAGCTCTTAAGCAGATTTTCTGATTGAATTAATTACACCTTTACCGTAATGCATTAAAATATCAATCAACACTGAATTGACTGACATTGATTCCAATTAAACTAGTTTTTAAACGTCTTTCGCAGATCAAAGCAGTTAATACATTTTCAAATCAAACTTAAACAGACTGCAAATAGCAGAAACGAGAGCCAATTTTATTATATGAATATTATGTGTTTTTGTAGAGATTTATTTAATAATTAAATGTTTTTTCTTTTGTTTTTTGTTGATTAAGACATTATGTATAATATTTGTTAAAAAATAATAACCAACTAAAAATTGTACTTTAAGTAAAAACTTAAGATGTTGATACATATTTATTTATTTATTTAAAATCAATTTATTTTTATTAATATATATTTTTTGTTTAAAATAAATTATATATACATAATATAATATTTATGTAAAATAAATAAATTATAATATTTATTTTAAAAATATATTTTATTTATATAAAAATGATTTCATTAATATAGTTATTTCTAAAAACTAAATGATATTTATATATATATATATATATATATAAAGTAAATGATATTTATTTTTATTTGTAATAAATATATTTATTTTTATTGTTTAGTAAAACATAAATAAATATTTTTTTTTTTGGCTTGAATTATTTGAGTTATTGAATAAGTACAAAAAAAATAAAATTTATATTTATTCTCGCATAAATACAAGTTAATTGAAATTTAACGAATGGCCATGACTTAGAGCAAAGGGAAATAATATTCATGCAATTTGAACTAAGTCTGGTAATTTTGCCATATTTTATATAAGTATTCATGCTTTTACAAGTTTATTTGCATTTTGAAAACCTCAATTTAACATAGTTAAATTAAATTGTAAGCGCCATAATTATTCAACCAGCCAAGTTTACAATTCTAATTCTAATTTGCGTTCGCCATGCAAGTGCAAAATAATTGATATATTCGCAAAAAAGAAGAAAAAAAAAGAAAATATTTTCATATTTAGTTGACGCTGTTCAATGCGCTGCAAATGCGAGCTGCGAACTGCGAATTGCCGAAGGCCAATTGCTGTTGGAATATTTACAAAATTAAAAGCGAAAATGTTTGTTTGCCGCTGTCGTTGCCGTTGCCCGCAATTAAATTGGAAATCAGCGTGGAAATGTTTCTACGCAAACAAATTGATGAAATATGCATCAGGCAAATAGACAAAAATCGCAGCTCCAAATGAGAGACACGAACAGCGGCTGCAACGGCAGCAAACACAACAAAAGCTTTGCCCCATTAAATGAACATAAATTAATTATATTAAACAATATATGAATTCAAAGGGAAATATGTGGAGCTAAAAATAAAAAGCCCTGTTAATCAAATTTGCATTTAGGTGAGCGTATTTACACACAACACACACACACACATAGCGAATTTACATAGTAAATTTAGCGACAAAACTAAATAATGTTCATAAAAATAATAGTAAATTTATATACAGCAAAAATATATGTGTTAAAACTTTAAACAGATATTAGCTAGTGATACGATTTATATATATATACAAAAAATATATATGAATATTTATTTATTATAAATTAAATGTATTGTTTATAAGCTAATTAGCGAGCATTTGTTGAAATGATTTGTTTGATTTAAACTCATTTAAATAGTTTTTCTACTCGCTGTAAATATAAAAAGAAAAAAGAAATTGCATTACTTCCACTAAAATCTGTTTTAAAGCTGCGCTGTAAATAAATGAAATAAAATATATAAAAAAGAATCTTTCAATTTATGTATTAAAAAAGAAGGCATTTCTACTATGCTTTAAAAATGTTGTAAATATAATTAAGTATTAAAACAGATTAAATGTATGTTGAAATGTTGAAAAAATTTGAAATTATATAAATATATAAAAAACTATTTAAAGCTAATTAAGTAGAACTTAAATTCCCAAACAGCATTTAAACAAAAACAAAAAAAAAAGAAATAAAAAATTTAAAAATTGCTGTTGATGAAAAATCGATGTATATGAATTTATATGTAAGGCGTACGCAACAAGCATAAAGAAGCTCAGTTATGTGTGCAAATGTACTCACATACATATGACTATACAAACATACTAAGTACACACATACACATACACATACATATATAAATATATATAGCTAGTTACTATGATTTCATAAGCATATCTATTATGAAGCTCCGTGTGAATATATAAGTTGTGGCATATCCATGTAACATAAATTTATATGTAAATGTATGCGGCAAGTTTACAATAAAAATAAAAGTGACAACAATTTGTGTGAAACTAATATTAAGTATTATGTCTGGCAGAAGAAGCTTTTCATGCAGCTGCAGCCTGAGGCACGCGCACTTTCAAGGACAAACAGAGCAGAGGCAGAAGAAGCATGTGCACAAATATATATATATATATACATATATATATTTAGCTAGCAAGCAGTCAACTAGAAAGCAATTTGCCAGAAGAAACGAAAGGCAACAATAGCAAAGGTAACAAAGTGAACGACTTGCATATATCTAGTGATCCTCTCAAACCAGGAATATCGAGACACAGAGCATCAATCATAAGTAAATATAGATTAATTTAAATAATTTATTTACAGTTTTAATTGCGTCAGACTATGCCCAGGCCTACTCTATATGTCAAACGTTAGCAAAAGGTTTGCCATAAAATAGTTTTTTCTTTTGCCATAGTTTTCCTCATTATCATAGTTTGCTTTGGCTCTCTTTACAGGGTATTTGGACAACAAAGCACTGCAGCCAAGCACATAATTGTTGGCACAAAACCGCACAAATTACCAAAAACCCAACACACACACACACACACGCAAGCAATACAACTGGCAACAACAGCTTCGTCGTCGTCTTTATTTAAAATCGAGCCAAAAGATTTTGGCCCAGCTGGCATTCGTTTGTTGAACATTTGCAGTTTTTACAGCCGACGCTCGGTGGAAATTGTTGCGGCTGCCATTGAAATGTTGTCGTGTGGAAGTGAGCAGATTTTCCAAGCAATTAGTGGCTGGAAAAGCGCACGCCAAATGGACAACAAAGCCCAAAGACTGGGTTAACAGGGCGACACATAAAAAGGCAACATTTACATCCAACTCAAAGTACATAAGTGTGCATGAGCATGTGTGTGCGTATATGCGAAAAGTGTGCAAACAACTTGGCCTTGGCATGAAGTCGAGACATTAAAGTAACATTGCCTGTATTTATTTTGTATATTTATTATTTAAAAAGTGTTGAAACATGTATAGTTTGCAAGATGTTTCTGTTTAAGAAATGTCTGATGGGCTTGGAGCTCTTTTGAGTTGTTTACTAATAACTGAACTTAATTATATTTAAAGATTATAAACATAGAAAGGACTTAAGCTGCTTGCGTCGATGGCCAGGCCAACTTCATTTCCAACAAAAACGAGACTTCAGTGTTAAATCAGAAGCGATCGAAAAACTGACAAAGGTCATATTGTATATCCATTAAGTTTCACTGCTAATACTCTTTAAACTATCTCTTTATAGGCATCTGTACACAGAGCTGCCAGCAAATTGAATTAAGGCAGCAACATCACTTTCTACAATCAACAATTCAAAATTTTGTTTGGAGGCTGCGATAAAATATGTCCATTCAACTAGTACTAAGACACATATTTTAACAGAGCATGAGATCGAGAGTAAATCTTCAAATAGTGTCCTATTTGCTTTTACTTGCGGAATCTCTATTAAACATAGTCTTTCTGTAATGTTAAAACAATCTTAAATTCAATGTCTGAAAAATATAAATATATATAATATACATACAAAAATATACATAGAAGAATAGCTTGAATTTTTTATTTTCTATTTTTATTCTATTTTAATTTTTTGGAATCATGAAAATCCAGCATCTTTAAAAGCATTGATTTCCTACACTCGTAATGCTTAACAGCCTCGATTAAGGACTATTTTTATAGAATTTATGTATATAATTTATATAAGCAAAATATACCATTTTTCAATAATAAAAGCAAACTTAAAATGAACAAAACTGTATTTTTTTGGTTTATTTATTTATTTTTTGTTTATTATTAGGAAAAGGAAAATTTGTGAAAAACAAATTTCGTTGCATACTTTCAAGGGCGTGCTGCCACTGTTAAATGGCAGCGCATGTTAATTTTCAGTGGGCTGCTAAGCTGTTACTCAAGATCAGCTTTTGCTGTTAACTCATCAACTCAAGAGCAGCTTCTGCTGTTAACTCAGCTGTTAAGTTGCTCATATGTTAGGCCTGCTGTAAGAGCTTCGAGATCAATCACTTGCGCGTCTTGCGACGATGTTCATTGCAACTAAGTGTTTTAAAGCAAGTAATGAGCTGGGGCATGCAATTAAATTAGGTGGCTAAAGGAAAAGGCATACATATTTTTCGTCCATATGCTTATTGTCTTTAGTCATATAGGCTGTCTGTGATATTATATAATCAAGCATAAGTAGGTCAACTGAGAACAATTGCATAAAATCATTACATTACAACAAAACTATTCAATATTAGTACAAAAGGATTCTAAATTAAATGAAAATAACATTCATCACTGCATATGCGATATACAAAACATATTTAATATATTTATATATATAAATATTATATATGTATAAGAGTGTTCGTCTGGCATTCAAGGTTGCCTTAAAAGTGAATAAATAAAATTATTAAATATTCATACAAATTAATTTAACTATTTAGATTTTTCAGCTCAGTTGTCAACTACTTAATGTGCTGTCCAGATTGTAGTTGACTTATCTACTTATGTAGGTATTTGTAATCAAATAAATGTTTATTCACCTGTAAAGGATATCATACTTGACAAAGAAAGCAGCTCTTTAATGGCAGATGCGAAAGCTGTCTGAGCCTGGCATTTGGCTGCATTTCTTGGCAGGACCTTTGTCTCACACATCTCTTTCTGTTGCAAGTTAGCTCGCCGGCGTGTATGCGAGTGGAAAATTCAATTTGCAAAGTGCATAAAAGTAAGAGACGACAACGTTGCCGATGAGCGAGGATGCAACGTGTGAGATTTTTAACTCGACGCGTTGCATGTTGGTTGTTAAACAAAAGCGTCAGCTACTCTAACCCAGTTAGCTGCACATCCCCACACATGCATACATCTCTATATATACATATTTATATATAGCTAGCAGGAGAGGTAGCTACAAAAACAGACATAACCAGATGCAGACTTTGAGCCACACTTTACAGTCGCTGCAGCATCGACATAGACGCATGCAACAAACAAGTGGCACAGTGGCATAAACGTGAACGTGAACGTGAACGTAAACGCAGCGCCCGAGTGGCGCAAACATTGTAATTAAATCTACGTCAACATAAACGACGAATGTGAATGGAAATCGTCGCAAGGCAGAGGCAAGAGAAGCGCATGTCGAGCGTGAATGTGTGTGTGTGAAAGTGTGAGTGTGTGTGAATGGATGCAAAGGGAATATATGTATGTAGGCATCTAGCTATGATACTGTTTGTAAATTTGTGTGCGCCTGTGTGTGTGTTAGCTTAAATACCCAGTCATCTGAGAGCTCGACTCGCTCGCTCGCTTTGTTAAGCAGGTTGAACTGAAATATATAAATATTTATTAAATGGAAAGTATCAAATTTAATATATAAAATGTAAATTGTAAAATAAAAAAAATTAATAAAATAAAATAAACTATGAAATATAAATATATAAAATATAAATATATAAAATAAAAATATATAAAATAATAAAAAGAGAACATTAAATATGAAAATTAAATATTAAATATAAAAATATATATATATAATTTAAAAATTAAAAATAAAATAAAAAAAAATAAACTATAAAATCAAAAAATTTAAATATAAGACAGCATACAAATAATAAATGTAAAATATAATGTTAAATATAAAATAGAAAAAATAATATATGAAGTACAAAATAATAATAATAATAATATAATATTAAATATAAAAAATTTAAATATATTAAATAAATAAAACATCAAAAATAAAATAAAATAAAAATATAATATAAAGAAAATAATAAAATATAAAATAATAAAAAATATATTAATTAATAATATATTATAAATAATAAAAATATATTAAATGTAAAATTTACAAGACAATAAATTTCAAAATGAAGATAAAAATACTATATAAAATATAATAATATATAATACATAAAAGAAACGTGAAATATGAATTATAAAATGTAACATAAAATAAAAATAAAATGTAAAAGAGAGTATTAAAAATAAAATATAAAAAGTAATATTTTAAATATATTATAAATTAACTATAAATTCAATATTATATTTCAAATCTAAAAGATTTTCCCTGACTAATAAACGTGCTCTTACCCATTTTTTATAGGGCATTGCCCAGTCGTGCCGCTCGCAATTGTGACTAATTGCTAGTGCTGTTAGCTGTTGACTTTTGAGTCAGAGCTGTGCACAGCTTGGCCAGAAAAGTTACGCAGACGTTGCCAGTGCGCTGTGTGTGTGTGTTAGCCTTATGACTGGCTTTGTTTAGCCGCCAAGGTAAGCGAAAGTTTCTATATTGTCAATGCTACAGCTGCTGTTGCTGCTGGCTTTAAAAGTCAAAGATATGAGTAAAGCATCCAGTTCGTTAAGGGCTGAGAGTTGATCTCTGATCTGTGCTTTGTGAATGTCCTTTTAGCCGCTCTCGCATTCAGTTAATCCAATTTGTTAGCTCACTTTCAATTACAATTACATTCCGAGAGACAAGAGTTCTGTTTGCCTCTGCCACTGTCACTGCATCAAATTTCCTTTATACTTCATGTGTTTGTATTTCTCTCATTGTTATTGTTGTTTTTCGACAAGCTGCAGTTGACACTTTTCAATTGTTTTTCTTTTTCTTTTTTTTTTTTTTGATAAGAGTAACTGAAAAGTTAAATTGAATTTAGCATAGTTAGCAAACAAATGAAAAACAATTAACTTACAGTTGGTAACGAGTAGCTGGCAATTATTTAAAGCTTCCACTTGAAAATGCTCCTTAAAATTCAGTATAAAGCAAGTCCTTAAAGCACATACAAAATTTGAAATTAATTTCAATGTAAATAATCACAGAGTTCATTTGCTTGAACACATTGCCAATGCATGCAAATGCCAAATGAATGATAAATAAAATTGGTTTTGGGCCCAGAAGGCATTTCGCTTGTTTGACTTGGCCATAAGCTGAGAGCCTTAACTTGAAGTCATATGCCATAAGTGGGCCTTACACGAATTGCTGCAGCAATTAAAACGTTGGCAAAAGGCATAAATTACGCATACGCCCCATTGCGTTCGTGCATTGTGCATTGTGCCATAAAAAGGCAAACGCATAACAATTTGAGAGCTCGAACAAAATCTAGCCAGCTGACCCAATTTGTATCCATTAGACAGGCGATAAATATGGTTAGGCGAGACTCTCCTTAGAAATCGATGGGCAGCGCCTCTTAAGATAACTTATGGCTGGGCTGTCAAGTGTTTGCAGAAGGGTTGCGCTTCCATGTGGCATATTAAGTTGCAGCTTGGCTTTGATAAAGGTCAAAAGCGGCAAGCCGGCAATTAGACGGCCAAGTAATACGATGCCAGAGCGGGACAGCGAGACAGCACCACTTATGGCTAATAGCCTCATCCTGCTTGGGATAGGATGTACCAATAGGGCAATAACTTAGTGCGTGTTGACGCTGATACCCCTTGCCTGGCCACTTATCATAACGCTTACGCGTTGATGGCTATCCACACTAAGTTCCGCACGCACACGCTGCTACTGCGACTGCTCCTGCTCCTCCTGCAATTATGCTAAAAGCTTTAAATTTATAGTTTTCCCATACTCGAACAACGACTGGCATTTTGAACATGGCTTCTCATGTCTGCGTCTAAATAAATGGCTTTTAAAGCACGCGTTAATGATGTTGATTGTAGTCCTGGGAACAGCAACAAACCTGACCCCGACCAGAGCCGCGTTGTTGCCCACCTTTTCATGTTTAATGTGTTTTGACTAATGTTTTATAGCTGGAACGCGTCTGCCCTGCCTCGTCTACCTCGTCTACCTCTGCTCCGAATCGCCTATGTCTGCCTTATTTTTATGATGATATATGGTCAGCCTCGCCACTCGCATGTGCTCGTTGCCAAGGATTTAGAGCCATATTTATTATGGCCTGTTACCTGTTTATGATCGTGCAAAGCCTTTTAGCGGCAGTAACTCGAGCATGCGACGGTATTAGATATTTTTGAGAGATAAAATTATATTTTAAAATTAATATGTTTTGACCTTAGCGGAGAAAAGCTGTCAGAGACTGAAGTATATAGCTTCACATATATTACATATATTATTATTATTATTATATATAATATATACGCAAAAACTTGTATTTATATTCTCAAGCATCTGTTGCAAGCCTCAAATGCCCAATTATAAATGATTTATGCCATTTAGCTAACGTCAGGTTAATTGCTGGGCTTACTATACTCAATTTTTCTAGCGCTAATGCACGATATGTAATATTTTATGAGAATGAGAATGTAAAGAGAAAAGCGACAAGTACTAAGGCGCAG